AGGGGTGGTTCTTGGAGAGCTTGTGTTAATGTCTCTGTCACAGCATTTGTCTTGTATGTGTGCAGGGTTGGTCTGTGCCTGTTTATGTCTGGGTGGGAGCTGCTCTGCCTGGGGGCATAGCATCGATAGTCAACAAAAGTATAGTGATAAGAATCTATAGATAATAGGGTGATGAGCCGAGACTTTGTAGGCAAAGGGCTTACAGTCACTTTCAGAGCATGCAGCCGTATATGCAATAGGTGTAAGAGTTTTCTCCGTAGTGTTATGCAGAGATGCTGGGGATGACCGGGTTGTGTTTCATGGGAGGCTGCAGTGACAATCTAGATAGTGTACCTAAAGGAGGCCTCTAGAATTTTGCTGTTTTGTTGGTGCAGTTAGAAGCATCCCGTGTTTGTGTCTTACAGGCAGTACCCAAGCCTCCAGGGGAGAACCCGTGAGCACACGAGGTAGAGGAGCAGGAGAGGGTTATTGCTGTGGGCAGGCTGTAGTTTTGTGCAGTATCCCACCGAACATTACTCTGGTTTTTGCAGGTTAAGCTCCTAGCCTCAGAAGGGTGAAGCTACACGCTCGATGAGCGGTGTGAGAAGGTGAGGTGGCGTTGGCCAGGTCCGTATCTAAGCGCCCAGTATCCCACGGCATCCAAGGGAAGCGTTTCCCTTTGGTTCTGGAGGTGCTGTGCAGGCAGCCTTTGGAGTTAGATGAGCATTTGAGGTGAGCCAGGGTGGTAGCAAGGAGGAGCAGGAGCGGGTGACTTGTCAGAAGCACAACGGTGACTTGTATTTTTGGTATCTCAGGTACCACCAGCGATGGTGGCTGCAGCGTCTGACTCTGGAAGGACGAGGTGAGCGCCGCTTCTGATGGCGGTGTCGTGGGAGAGGTTGGCATTGGCCGACGCGACGCTGACTGGTCGCACTCTTTGTGGGTGTTGTGCAGGTGACGCAGAGGAATCTGGTGACTTGGGAACATCCCAGTTAGCCCAGGTGGTTGTTGCAGAAGGTGGCTCTGGCCTCTGGCCCTCTGAAAGCGAAGTTGAG